ACTTTCTAATTTTCAAACATATCGTACAAAAATTTAATTTTTGTTGTTGTTGTGTTGACTTGTAGACTCTTCTATATACTCAACATATTCTATATATATACACATTACCATTTACAAATCACATCGTCACAACTAAGAACCATTAAATCTTTTTCATTGATCGATCATCAACAACAACATGGCAAGATCCTTGTTGCTCCCGCTAACGCTAGTTTTCCTCTTAACCGGGTTGGTCTCAGCTCGTGACTGGAACATCCTAAACCAGCTCAAAGGCATCAACCCAACCACAACCACCACGAAGACTAGCCAAAACGGCCTCGTATCGTCGAAAAGTCCTAACCTAAACGGATACTGCGAGAGCTGGAGAGTCAACGTGGAGCTTAACAACATTAGAGACTTCAAGGTGGTGCCACAGGAATGTGTCTGGTTTGTACAAAAGTACATGACCTCATCTCAGTACGAGGATGACGTGGAGAGAGCCGTTGATGAAGCTATCCTCTACCTCGGAAAAACTTGTTGCGAAAAGAAGAAATGTGATGGTATGGATGCTTGGATCTTTGACATTGATGACACACTTCTCTCCACCATTCCTTACCACAAAGACAACGGCTGCTTCGGGTAAGAAAACTGTATTACCTGTCCTATCGATTCGGTTTAGTTCGGTTCGATTTGACAAACTTTTAGTTCGGTTGCACAAAAACGGGTTGAATTTCGGTTCAATTTGGTTCATAACATTTATATGTCCACATCTACGTACCATTTTACCTCTGTGGTTCGGTTTATTCCGGTTTATGATAATCGTGGTTGAATTTGAATCAGTGGGGAGCAACTTAACACGACCAAGTTCGAGGAATGGCAAAGTTGGGGAAAGGCACCAGCGGTTCCAAACATGGTGAAGTTGTTCCATGAGATTAGAGAGAGAGGTTTCAAGATCTTTTTGGTCTCTTCTCGTAAAGAGTATCTCAGATCCGCCACCGTCGAAAACCTTATCGAAGCCGGTTACCACGGCTGGTCTAACCTCCTCCTCAGGTATATATATTGCCCCGGTTCGAGTCTCATTAATTTGAGAGGTATATAAATAAATTGGTTAGTTTCTTTTTCAAATCCGTCATAAAACCAAATAGATAGTGGTCTAATAGTTTTTGAAAGTACTCAAGATCACTAGTCCATCCTATTTATTTACTTATTTGTGAGATGTGATTTACGTTTTAAACACGGTATTATTAATAGATCATTCGGGAAAGTAATGGCAAATGTTATGAATTTCCAAAGTTAAATAGAAAAATGATTTTTTCTTTGTCCGTAAGATGTTTTAGGTTTTTTATTTTGTTCCATATTATAAAAAAATTTCAAAATTCTAAGTAAAAATTAAATGACTATATTCTGCAGTATTTTTTTTTGTTGGTTGATTTGGTTTTAATTAAATGTTAAATGGTGATTTTAATG